TGCTGCCACTGTGGGGAAGGAGGGTGAAGAGAAGGGGACTATTTAAATGAGTTGGACCCCTTTCCTCCTGGTTCAGTGGTTTTATTTTAACCCATGTTCATCCGACTGGGGCTTGGGCTCTCGGGGGATGAGAAGAATGTTCTGAGTAAGTTCTGGAGAGGGATGCTGGGTGCTCTGGGGTGTAGCGTGCTCAGGTGACATATGCTATCAGCCTGCTTCTGGGCCCTTTCTCCAACTTCATAGCTTCACATAGCTGCTTTTGTGCTTGGGGTGGGGAGAAGCTAGGGACTTTATTAGTAATATTTGTTCAGTGGTGAGGGCAGGGATGAACACTTTTCTAAAGCATGATTTTATTTCCAAACCACACAGTATAAGTCATGTCCTCTTTGGTTCCTTCCAGCTTTAACATTTAGTAGATCCAATCTGAAGTGAATTCCAGAGCAGGGAAAGGGTTGAGGCAAGATTCTGATCAAAGAACAGGTAAACAGTTAAATTCTGTAGTTGAAAACTGAGAAGCTGAGAAAGCGGTATAAAGAAGCCCAGCTAAAATCAGAAGCAACTAGGCTTTTTAGGGAGACAGATGAGAAGGACCCCTGCATCAGTCATCACCTAGGTAAACACCCTCTCTGTTCCCAGGACCTGTGGCCAGCCCACCCTCAAGCCTCTGCCTCATGCTAATGGCTTCACAGAGTCTCCAGTCTTAGTCAGTTTCCCCAGCACGTGGCCCACCACCTAACCCTGACTGTCATTCAATAACAGTTACTAAGTACCTACCATATGCCAGGAATTAGTCTAAGTTGTTGGGGTGCATTTATAAATGAAAAAAGACCAATTCCCTGTCCTTGTGGGGCTTCCATTCTAGAAGGAGGCAGACAATAAACAATAAACATGGTAAATAAGAACATTATACAGCATGTCAGAAGTGAATGAGTGCTATGGCAAAGACCACATAGAGCTGGGTAAAGGGGGTTAGGAGTGTGACAGGGGGCAGCAGGGGTCATACTCAGAACATTTGAGCAAAGGCTTACAAGGAGTGGGAGAGCTGAACACATGGATATTGGTGATAAAAGTGCTCTAAGAGGAAACAGAAGGTTAATGGTCCTAAAGAAAGAGGCTGACTGGCTTGTCTGAGGAGCTGCAAGGAGGGGAGTAAGTAGAGGTGAGGTGAGAGAAGTAACGGGGATGAGGGGTGGCAGATTATGTAGTCCTCAGCTACTGTAGGACTTTGGCTTTTACTCTAGTGGCTGGGGAGCCATGGCAGAGTTTTGAGCAGGAACATTTTAAAATCATCTCTCTGGCTGCTGTGTTGAGAACTGATTATAGGGGAGTAAGGGCAGGAGCAGACCAGCTACAAGGCTCGAGTCATGCTTTATTCCCTTCTTTCTCCCATAACTGTTGGCTCTACCAGAATAAGCAGACCCTGGGTGCTTCAACATGGGCCTTTCCGCTGGAAGCTCTCTAGCTCCCTGGACCCTGGCTGCCAGCAGGTTGACAGCACCCAGCATATCTGGGACTGGAGACCCCACATGAGATACGCAGAATCTGATACTTCTCATCACGTCCACTGCTACCAGCTGCTTTAAGCAACCCCACGGTTTTAGCCTGAGCAACTCAAGGGAAGGAGTTGCATTTACCGAGGTGTGGAAGGCCACAAGAGGAACAGGTTTTAAAAGGAAAATAAGGAGATGAATTTTGGAAATGCTGATTTGAGATACCTATTGGATATCTGAGTGGCTATATCAACTAGTCAGTAGTAAATGTGAGTCTAGAGTCTGTGAGAGAGAGCTGGAATGCACCATAAAGTGGAGAGTCATCAGATGCTGATGGTATAAGAGACCAAGGGCTTTTAAAGATCCGGAGAAGAGGAGGAACTAACAAAAGTAACAGAGGAGGAGAAATCAGTAAAGGAGGATGAAAACCAAGAGGATGACGTGTTTTAAAGCAATGCTATCAGGGAGAAGGGAGAGAGAACTACATCAAACCCAGACAGGTTAACAAAGATGAGTCATGAGAATCGACTGTTGGACATAGCATTATGGATGTCATTAGTGACCTTGTCAGAGCAGTTGCTGTGAAGTGCGGGGCAGAGTGGTTGCAGTGGGTTTAAGATCACGGGATTTAAGATCACGGGAGAGAGAAGGATTGGAAATAGGAAATAGGAGTTATTGGGGCAAAACTCAGGAGTAGGTGCAGTTCGTCCCTTCTTTCCATATTCTCCTTCCTGGGGGGAAACAGGCCAGTGTGAACACTGCCTAGTGGTAATAGCATGCTGTGTGTGTCCAGCCATGTGGGGATGGGTCATGACTGGTGCAGCTGCTAGGAAGCCGCACATCTGAATTATTTCCACAGCTCTCCACCCTCAGCTCCCTGGAGGGGAAACAGGCATGCTCTCCCACCAGGGCCTGTCCCGCAAAAGCTTCAGCCATGGGGATGAGCAGACAGACCCTGGGTGACCAAAGGTGCGTGGTGTGGGGAAGGTGCTAGGAGAGGGTTTTGGCAATGATTCAACTCTGCCAGGAGGGAATTTAAATTACTTGCCTGCCAATCTCAGCTCAGACAAGAAGCGGTCATCTGTCAACCATTTCATATTTAATATCTAAGCCCAGGTTGCTGAAAACGGGCAAAGGTCACCTGTGTTGCAAATCTTTGGGTTTTGCTAATCATAGACAACCAGCTGGAGAGCACCTTGTATGAGGACAGGTGCTCACTTCCAACCCTCTTCCTTTGTCGTCTTTAGTCCCCCAACTCCAGACCCTGGGTGCTTCAGGACACAGGTCTTTGAGCCAGAACTTCCCGTTTCCCTGGACCCTGGCTGCCAGCAGACTGAGTTCCTCAGCACCCAGAATACTTAGGATTGGAGATCCCATGTTGAGGCTACAACAGAATGTACAACAGCTGGACCCCTCAGAACGAGGGATCTTCGAGTTAAGGACAGTGGGGGAAGGGCATCACCAAAGGAAACCTCAGCTCTAGGCTGTAGGGAGAGGGAGCATGGGGACACCAGTGCAAAGGGGGCTATATGAGACCTGGCACCAGGGAACACTGCTCTCCTTGATGTTGCTTGTAGATACCAAAGAGCAAAGAGAAACGAGGAAGCACTTTTCTTCATATAAGAATAATAGCTGTTTTAGCAGTATGTGACAATTTGGGATCATTTTTAGCTGGTTACTTCACACCCAGTGTTTGTCAGATTTGTGTTGATTACAGCATATATTGATGTATGCCCCCTGCTGTGTTGCTCATGTGGACTATCATCAGTTTATATCTTTAAAAATGTCACCTGGAACATTACAGGTGACATCACAGAGCGTGCTTCTTTTGAGAAGGACGGCCAGCAGAATGACTCCTTTCTCAGATGGATGTGTGGTCTCTTCCATCCCATGGGGAAGAATGCCAGGACACTTCAGGATTGGGGGAGCACGGCAGATGTGGGGTTAGCTGTGAGTTCCATCCTCCAGCTCCAGGACTAACTCCATCTTTTAATGGTGGTGATGCAGCTTGGGTGGGGCAAGAGGCAGTGCCCACAGGACAGCCCCTTCTGCACCTGGGTCCCCCTTGGGCTCCATCCTGTCTCTCACCCCTCCCCACTTCTAGGCCAGTGGCTCTCCTGGCGGGTGTGGACCTTATGCCTTATGGCAGGCTGCCCAGGTATTCAAAGAGGCCGAGGAGGAGGGGAGCAGAACTGACCACAGGACCCGCTGCAGTTAAATATTGTCTTGGCTTATTGGGAAAGAGCAGGTAGCAGAAAAATGGGTAAGGGGGGCTGTGAGGTGCTGAAAACTCCTTCTCTCGTTCTGTCCTCTCTCTCTTGCTGCCATGTTTCCAACTCCCAGCAGTGACCATTCATATCAGCCACTGGGTTATCTCTTTCCTCATTTTTCCCTCCTGCCCAGCACGTCTTGGATTGATTTGTAAATTTATTAGACTAAGTTGCTTACAATCTTGATTTCTTTGCCTTGTGATAACTAAGTGTTTCCCTCAGTGCCTGAATTATGGATGCAGAGATTTGGAAGGTAAAGAACTAGAGACCTCTATTTCCCATCAATTTTTGTTTTCAACAGTTTTATTAAGGTATAATTGACTCAATAAATTATACATATCTAATGTGT